ATCCCTGGCAGTGCCCAGGGCCAGGTTGGACCCTGGGGCTGGAGCAGCCTGGCACAGTGGGAGGTGTCCCCATGGCAGGGGTGGCACTGGGTGGCATTTGGCGTCCCTCCAACCCAAACCTGCTGCGACTTTGCGTCTGTAAACACGGCAGGGCATCAGCCACCGCTCCCGCGGCTTTTCCGCACAGCGAACAGCGCAGAGCCGGGGGCGGAGCGGGCGCGGAGGAGTGAGGGAAAGGGAAATAAGGGAATAATAGTGGCAGAGAGGGAAATAAAAGCAGAAACCGAAACAAAAGCAGCGAAGCCTTCCCGCGGGCGCGGGGACGGAGCGGCGCCGCTGGGCGGGGCCTGAGGCGAGGGGCGGGGCTCAAGGGATGGGGGCGTGGTCTGGGCGAGGGGGCGTGGCTTGCCAGTTAGGGGCATGGTTTCTCTGTTTGGAGGCGTGGTTTGCCTGCTTGGGGGCGTGGTTTATCTATTTGGGGGCGTGGTTTTACTGTGTTGGGGGCGTGGTCTGACTGATTGGCGGCGTGGCCTGACGTATCAGGGCGTGGCTTCCCTGTTTGGGGGCGTGGCCTTGCGGAGGGGCGTGGTCGCTCCTCCCCGTCCCCGCCGCCATTTCCCGCTGGGCGCCGCCGCGGGCGGTAGCGCTGGGGATTAGTGAGGTGCTACGGGCAGCGATAAGGAGCGATGAGGAGCCGGAGCGGAGCCCGTGGGGACTCCCCGCCGCGAGGTACGGCTGGGAGGGGGCGGTGTGCGCGCTGCCCTGTCCCCCCGCTGCCCCGGGCGCGGCAATGCGGCGGCTCCCTGAGGCGAGCGGGCCGCGCTCCCTGGGCCGCCTGAGGGGAGAGGTCTGGGCCGCCGCCCGGCTGCTCCGGGCGATTCCGGCAGGGCTCCGCGGCTCCGGGAGTGCTCTGCTGGCGCACCCGGAGCCGCACACGGAGCCGCAAACCCCGCCGGGTTCGCCTGTGGCAGCGCCCCGCTCGCTGCACTGAGCGCGGCCGTGGGCTGCGAGGTGCCTGGGGCTGGGAACAGCACCGCGGCCTGCTGTTTGTGAGGAGCTGGGCCATCCCCACGGGTCCCACTGCACAGAATCCCAAATCCTGGGGCTGGCAAAGCCCTCCCAGCCCAGGGAGTCCCAGCTGGGCCCCATGCCCACCTTGTCCCCAGCCCAGAGCACTCAGTGCCACCTCCAGGGGACACCTGCAGGGATGGGCACTGCAAAGCTCCCTGGGCAGCCCCTGCCAGGGCCTGAGCACCCTTTCCATGGGGAAATTGCTGCTGCTGGCCCAGCTGAGCCTGCCCTGGCCCAGCCTGGGGCTGTCTGTTCCCCAGCACTGTGGCAGTCCATGGGAAAAGGGCTGTTGGTAATGGTGTTGGGTTACTCAGGTTGGGTGATTTCCATACCCTCAGGAGTGGTTTATCCAAAGTCTCCCAGCACTTGTGGGGGGGGAGTAATGCTACAGACACAGCGTGGTTCCCTGGCTCAGCTGGATTCGGGATTTTATAGAGCTCCAAGGGTGCCGGGATGGTGCCAGGCTCTGCTCAGTGGTGCCAGTGACAGGACAAGGAGCAATGGCCAGGAACTAAACCACGGCAGTTCCAGCCCAGCCCGAGGAAGAACTTCCTTCCCTGGAGGGGCAGAGCCCTGGAAGAGCTGCCCAGGCAGGAGCTGGAGTCTCCCCCTCTGGAGACCTCCCAAACCCCCTGGGCACCTCTGGAGACCTCCCAAACCCCCTGGGCACCTCTGGAGACCTCCCAGACCCCCAGGGCACCTCTGGAGACCTCCCAGACCCCCAGGGCACCTCTGGAGACCTCCCAAACCCCCTGGGCACGTTCCTGTGTCGCTGCTGCAGGGGGCCCTGCCTGGGCAGTTTCAGAGGTCCCTGTGCAGGCTCAGAATGTTCCCCTGCAGACATCCCTGCTGCCAGTCAGTCTCTCTGCCTCTCTCAGTATTTCCATAAGCTGATTTATGTAATTTAGTAGACCATCTGCTTGCTTCCAAGAATTGGGGAAGAGTTTTTCTGAAATATGAGCCTCTGACTTTTAAAACCTCAAAGCAGCTTTTTTTTTCTTTTCTGATTGGAAGCAAATATAACCCCATCCAGCCTGAACCTGCGAGCCACTAAAGTGATCCCAGGGCTGGAGCCCCTCTGCTGCCAGGCTGGGAGAGCTGGGAATGTTCAACCTGGAGAGGAGAAGCTCCAGGGAGAGCTCAGAGCCCTGCCAGGGCCTGGAGGGGCTCCAGGAGAGCTGCAGAGGGACTGGGGACAAGGATGGAGGGACAAGAGCAGGGAATGGCTCCCACTGCCAGAGGACAGGGCTGGGTGGGAGATTGGGAATTGGGAATTGTTCCCTGGCAGGGTGGGCAGGGCTGGGATGGGAGATTGGGAACTGGGAATTGTTCCCTGGCAGGGTGGGCAGGGCTGGGATGGAATTCCCAGATTCCCCTGGATCCCTGGCAGTGCCCAAGGCCAGGTTGGAGCAGCCTGGCACAGTGGGAGGTGTCCCTGCCGTGGCAGGGGTGGGGTGGGATGAGGTGTGGGGTCCCTCCAGCCCCAGCCAGCTGTGATTCCATGGGCTCCAGCTGTGGCTGCTGTGCCAGTGTGCCCTGCAGTGGGGCTCCAGGCAGGTCCCGGGGTCTCCCGTGGGCACAGCCTGGCCTCAGGGCCTGATCTCTCTGCTGATTTGTGGCCTCTCCACAGGCACTGCCGCAGCCCTGAAGAGGAGGAGTGGCAAAAGCTCGTCACCGTTCTGACAGAAATGGTTTTCCTCTGGAATCTCCCTGGCAGCGGTAGATCTGCAGAGGACATCCAGCTTTAGACAGCTGTGGAATCCTGGCGATGAGCACATTTTATCACAATTTCTCAGGAAGGTGCAGAACAAGTCAGCTGGCTTTGAGCATGCCTCATGCAGGAGACTCCTTTGTTCAGCAGGCAGAGGCACACGGGAGCCTGCTGTGATTCCCAGAGTGGCACTGTTGCTGTCCTGGCAGCATGGCCAACAAGGATCCGAGGTACACCCACACATCCCCGGGGCAGGGGGGGCTTTGGACAGGGCCTGCCGTGAACTGCAAGGGTTAACAGGGAAAGGAAATGCTTTTACAAGTGAATGCAGCATCCCCAGGCTTTCTCCTGAAGGGAACACTGAACAACCTGGAGAAACACAACCTGCAGGTGTAGCTGCTCTTTGCAATGGCTTTTGCTTGAATGAGGTAACAAAGTGAGGGGGGTGGAAGGTTCCCTGAGGCTGTGGAATTGTTAGTTGCACAGAGACCATTTCCTAACATTTATCCAGTGATTTCTACACTCCTGCCAGAACTCCGAGCACAGAGAGATTGGCTTCTCAGATAAGGGGTTTTACTTAATCTGAATTTAACAGATGACTTCTGTTCCGTGTTAATATATGATTATACAGGGTTATATATGAATATACAGAGTGTTCTTTGACATGATTTTAAACCGGTTGTTTTGCAGGGAAAATAATTCCAATTGTATTTGCAAATCATGTTAAGTTGAAAAGCAGTTAATTTTTGTTAAGCCTGAGGGGATGATTCTTTAGAAAAGATATACCCTTGCCCAGCTAACTTGACACCAGGTCTTGTGGATGTTAATATTATGGGGATGTTAAATAGAGTAAAAAAAACAGTGAAGAGAAGGATTATTTTAATAGATCTTATGCATTAAAAATTGTAACATAAATTTAATAACTTCTTCATAATGATTTTTTTTCTAAGCTCCCTGTTCATCTTTTCTCTTTCTGGAAACGTTTCTTACAATAGTGAGGAGTATATTTCAAACAAAGCCAAGCAAGTTTTGTTTCCATTGTATAAATGAAGTTGGAGTGAGTGGCATTGAATTTTCAGATACAATCTTAATGCAAAGTTATTATAAATAATCATACAGTGGCTTCTGCTTTATTTGAGGTGGTAGGAGCCCCTTCCATGTGGAAAAAGGGGAGTGCTGTTGCCATGAAAATGGACAAAATTGCCATAAAATGATAAAGATCAGTCCCCCCGCCCAGTAACTCTTCCAGTACCACTGCCCTCCTTCAGACACTGGAGAGTGAAGGCAACTCTGTACAGGAACCTTGGGTTACTTAAAACTTATTTACTAAGGTAATTTACTGTGATAATTTAGTAAAATGTGCTTGTTTTTGATGTTTTTGTAGGAACTGCAGCAGAATGTTCCTTTGGCAAGCAGAGAGGTTTGTTTGTTAACCTCCATGAGAACTCCAATGGATGTGCCAGTGCCTCTCTGTCAGCTTGGTAAGTACCTGAACCTTTGGGTTAGAGAGCAGCACTGCAGGGAGCTCATTAATTCCTTAATAATCCTGCTGAGTTAATGAAGTAAGCAAATCTCGGGGTCTGTGTGTCAGGATGACCCCAAGATTGTAAAAGTCTTTTTTCTCCCAGCCTGAGCAGCCAAAGAAGGAGTCTGGATGTGCAGGGTCAGCCTCTCAAGGTTGTTTCTCTTTCCTTACCTGTAACATTCTCTCTCTGAGCTGCTGAGCTCTGTCCAGCAGGCCAGCCATGGCATTCTGTCCTGGACTCTGACAAGAAACCATCATGGTATGGTAGAACTCTCCCTGGAGTAATTCCCACAGTAAGGGGCTCTTGTGTTACCCCTGCATGCTCCATTCTGTGCATAAACCAGGAGCAGGGCTGGAGCCCTTCTGGAGCCAGGCTGGGAGAGCTGGGAATGTTCAGCCTGCAGAGGAGAAGCTCCAGGGAGAGCTGGGAATGTTCAACCTGGAGAGGAGAAGCTCCAGGGAGAGCTGGGAATGTTCAACCTGGAGAGGAGAAGCTCCAGGGAGAGCTCAGAGCCCTGCCAGGGCCTGGAGGGGCTCCAGGAGAGCTGCAGAGGGACTGGGGACAAGGATGGAGGGACAGGAGCCAGGGAATGGCTCCCACTGCCAGAGGGCAGGGCTGGGTGGGAGATTGGGAATTGGGAATTGTTCCCTGGCAGGGTGGGCAGGGCTGGGATGGAATTCCCAGATTCCCCTGGATTCCTGGCAGTGCCCAAGGCCAGGTTGGACACTGGGGCTGGAGCAGCCTGGCACAGTGGGAGGTGTCCCTGCCATGGCAGGGGTGGCACTGGGTGGGATTTGAGGTCCTTCCCAGTCCAGACCATTCCATTCCATGGTTCTGCCTCCCTGCACATCCAGGAACTCTCAGTTACATGTGAGGGTTTTTATTTTTTATTCTGAGTTTTCCCAGCACTCCTCAGTTTCCAGATTAGCAGGTGAAACAAGCACAGTTTGGCTCAGCTGTTCTTGGTGTGAGAAGGGGTTTGTTAGGATCCTTTTATTGTATAAAAAGGGTCAGATCATCATCCCAGAACCCCAGACTGGTTTGGCTTGGGAGGGACCCTAAATCCCACCCAGTGCCACCCCTGCCATGGCAGGGACACCTCCCACTGTCCCAGGCTGCTCCAAGCCCTGTCCAGCCTGGCCTGGGACACTTCCAGGGCTGGTAGAGACTCTAGATAGACCAAGATGCTGAAGAAGATTCCCCACACAATTTCCAGACTATCTGTATTTCCCCAGGCTGAATCTCCCCAGTTTCTTGTTCTAAGATATTTGTCTTGGCTGTGTTTCCTTTGTTTGAGTGTATCACAAACAATTTTGCAACTGTACGACTTCTTTGCTAAACTTGTTTGTTCAAACAAAGTTCAGAGGCAATGGGAGCTCTGAACTGAAAGGAATTTGGCTTGGGTATAGAAGAGGCTTTGAAGAATCAAATAATGTTAACTGGAATGCAGCAGCTGTTCAGCAGACACAAATTATTACAAGTCTGATCTTGTGCTCAGATGATAATAATAGTTAAAATATTGCTTTATTTATCCCCACTGGATGTTTATTTCCAAGTGGGTGATTTCCTACCTAGTCAGAAATCCATTGTTCTACCTTTAGTTGCAGTTAAACCCATTGTTTGTGGATCTCTATAAAGATTATTTAGATTTTCTAATTCAAGGCCCAGATTTCTCTTTTCACAGTCATGGTGACTGTGGTACATCTTTTTAACACGACAGGTCAAGACAAAAGAGAGTTTTATGAAGATAAGGAAGGAACTCTCCAGATTTTCCCATGGAATTGATGTAAAATAGAGAAGAAATGTGTTTGGAATTAAAGTAGTGACTGCTTTGGCCAACTGAGTGTGGGAGTCAGCATCTGAGTCAGAGACATGACCACAAAATGCCTTAAAATAAGAACAGGAAGTTTCTCCTTGTTGCATACAAAGCAGAAGGGAGGCTGAAGGGGCTTGAGAAAAAAAATAATTTGAAGAGTGAGAACCAAACTTTCAGTTTTTTTGAGGCCTTTTTTTGAAAGGTTGGGACCGTTGGGAGGTTGGGTTGTTCAGGGAAAGGATTCTTGGTTGCGGGGGGCCCTTGGTTGGTTCCCGGTTTCTTGGGGGGTTTTTCCGGAGGTTTTGGGACCCTTTGGGTTGTCGGGCTTGCCGGGGAGGTTGGGGTTGCCCTTGGAGTTTTCCAGGGCCGGTTTGGGGCGGCTTGGGCCGTTGGGGGTTTTCCTTGTTCTTGGCGGGGGGGTGGAATTTGGTTCTTTAAGGTCCCTTCCAACCCAAACTTTCTGGGATCCATGAGAGTGAGTCAAGCAATAATGGAATATTTTCCCAGATCAGTTCTAAAATTCTTGGGATGGCTTGAAAAGGTGTTTGAAATCCAGTCAGAGTCCTCTGAGACATGATTTGATGAGAACATCTTGGGTGTTTTTGCTGACACTGAGTCTTAAACCTCACATGAGGGAGCAGCGTCAGGATCCAGGAACCAGCTCCTCCTCAGGTTCATGGACATTTCTCCCAGGCTCTGGAGAAGGAAGGAAGTGTAGGAAAATCTGGGAAGATGTGAAAGAAAGTAACAGTTCCACCAGGGAGTAATGGGTGTGAACCCAATTGTTGCAAATGAATACCTGAAATAAAAGTCAGGTCCTGTGGATACACCAATGCATTAATACAGAGTTTCACTTTCCAGTGTGCCTGACCTTTCTGTCTACAGCTGTTTGCAGCCTGCCTGGTAAGAGTGTTACCATCTTTAAAATGTTTTCCCTAACACATTTCATAGCTTGCACATCCTCACCAATCATCATTGTGGAACTTCATGCTTTTTGAAGAAAGAGAAATGTACTCCATGTGCACAGTGCTTTGCATTGCTATGTCTGTTGTGCTGAGCTCTCCCCTGAGGCTGCTTTTTGGGGCAAATCCTGAGCTGCTCTGAATGGGTTTATTTATTAGAATTGTTGCAAAGCTCAGAGTTGTTTGTTGCTTGTTCTTTTTTTGTTTTGTTTTGTTTTGGTTTTTTTTTTTTTTTTTTTTTTTTTTTTTTTTTTTTTTTTTTTTTTTTTTTTTTTTTTTTTTTTTTTTTTTTTTTTTGGTTTTTGTCCTTTCTAGAAAGAATTTTGGAGGGGCTTCCCTACAACCTTCAGATGGACTCCCACAATTTCCAGCACATTTTGTCCTGGCAGGCAGAACATGACCCAGCTGTGCCAGCATCCTACAACGTGCTGTACAGAGACCACAGGCAAGTCACACTAAATAAGGCACAAATTCTGCTTCTCATGTTTTTTGGCCCAAAGAGAAGGGAGCTTTGGAGTGCCCCTGGAGGTGGCACTGAGTGCTCTGGGCTGGGGACAAGGTGGGCATGGGGCCCAGCTGGGACTTCCTGGGCTGGGAGGGCTTTTCCAGCCCCAAGGATTTGGGATTCTGTGAAAATAGTAAAGCTGAGGTTTTTCTCTGTTTTTCCTGGGTTTTTTTCTTAGTTTTTATGTTATTTTTTTTTCCCTGAGAAATGCCCTTCTCACATCAGAGAATGGAGACTCTTTTTCTGTTTTCTGCAGGAGCCAGAGCTGGATGAGTGCTCAGCAGTGTTCAGGCATTGCCCAGCTCTCCTGTGAGCTGACAGAGGAGTTCAAGGACATATCCCCTGAGTATTCTGTACTTGTTCAGAGCATTGGAGGAGCTCAGGTGCTCAATTCTTCTGTGCTGCGTTTTGTGCCACTCATTGAGAGTAAGATCTCTGCATTTCTTTTTTTTGTAGTTTTCATTAGCAGCTGATGCCTGAATTATGTTCTGCTGCCTTTTCTGTAAGACTTCACACTGACTTGGTTGGTGGCTATTTGTATGTAGTATTTCATAGATCTGTTACAAAGCCTAAAGTACATAGATAAGTTTCTAAAATTAGTAGTTCTGATAAAGGAGTGAGGCTCTGGTTTTGAAATAAGTGCATTATAAATATAAAGGAAATACAGTAGTGCATTGACAACCACCAAGTAAAAATCTCCTGACTGTGTAAGCTACATAACTTAAAAAACAACATTGTTTTTGTGTGTTCAGATAGTGAATGTTAAAAAATGCCAAGTGTGCACTTGGTGTAGGGAAGAGATTGATGGACAAACTATCAATCTGCCCTTTTCCATGCTGAAGAGACTTGTCTTTATTGCCAGAGGTTGGCTTCACCCCTGGCTCTGCTTAAAATGCAGTTTTGAGCTCAGAGAGGCAGATATTGAGGAATAGCTGGAGAGCTGTGGAGGATGAACTGATGATGTTTCCCCTGAGCTCAGCAGAGGCAGCTGAGTCCCCTTCCAGAGCCAGAAATGAGGGAACACTAGGGAATGAGGAGAATGGGACAAGGAGAACTGAAGGAGAACATCCCGAGGAGGAGCCCTGCAGTCCCTCAGCAGCTGATTTAGTAAAAAGGACAGGACAAAGGGGAATGGCTTTCAGCTGAAGGAGGGCAGGGCTGGATGGGATACTGGGAAATAGGAGTTGTTCCCTGGCAGGGTGGGCAGGGCTGGGATGGAATTCCCAGATTCCCCTAGATCCCTGGCAGTGCCCAAGGCCAGGTTGGACACTGGGGCTGGAGCAGCCTGGGACAGTGGGAGGTGTCCCTGCCATGGCTGGGGTGGCACTGGGTGGGCTCTGAGGTCCCTTCCCAACCCAACCTATTCCAGGATTCTCTTCTGTACTTTAACCTCAGCTTCAATCTCGGGCAAATACAAAGATCATATTTCTGTGAAGCTGGAGCAAACCCTCTGTCCCCTTTCTGCTTCTTCCTTCCAGTCCTTTTCCTTTAAAATCAGGCCATGTGGGAATGATGATTTGGCTGTGGAAGTTAAATGTTGCAAGGCCAAATGTGGATTTACAGCAGTGACCTCTCTGGACTGTGCTGAGCCAGCTCTGTGTGCATCACAGAAGTAGAATTGGTGCTGGATAAGGTGTGTATTTTTCCATCATTTTTTCCTCTTTCTTGTTTTCCAACAGCAATTCTGGGACCACCAGAAGTGAATATCACTTCCTGTCTAAGCTGCATCAATGTCACCATAAAGCTGCCAGCCTCTCACTTCAGAGCCAAGGGGAAGCTGCTGTCTTTAATTGATATCTATGAAGAGCTGGATTATGACATCACGCTGAAATCAGAGGATGGAGAGCTTAAGGTAGGGAAATTTGGGAACAGTTGTGCTTTAAGGGAGGAACACAGAAGGCATAAAATGGCTCTGATGCTTAACAGGTTCCCAAAACCAAGTATGTGAATAAAAGCAAAGGAAAACATAAAAATAGATTGCTTAGAAGAAAAGAGAGATCACGGCCTGCAGAATCTGAGCTTCCTTTCACTGCAGGGGGCAGGTCTGGAGGAGGGAGCAGGGGCTCTTTCCAGCCAATGACCGACTTCAAAACATTGTTTTTCATGGCAGAGGCCTCGGCAGACAACCACTGAAGAGGTGTTTAGTACTGTCATTGAAGAACTGTATCCCAGCAGGAATTATTGTGCATCCGTGGGGGTCACTGCATCCCTGAACAGGAATTTTGTCCCCTCCCCCTTGAAATGTGTCACCACAGACTCGGAGGCTCGGCAAGGTGAGGGAGCTGTGGGGCAGGGGGCTGGTCTGGGTGTGCTATGTGTTCTTTTGGTGTAGAGACACTTACAGTTCAGTCCTAAAAAACAAGTGATCACAGAATCATGGAATGTCCTGAGCTGGAGGGACCCCCCAGTGCCAGCCCTGCCCTGCCCAGACCCCACCAACCCCAGCCTGGGCATCCCTGGCAGCGCTGCCCAAAGGCTCCTGGAGCTCTGGCAGCCTCGGGGCTGTGCCCATTCCCTGGGCAGCGCCAGCACCTCTGGGGAAGAGCCTTTCCCTAAAACCCACCCTAAATCCCTCCTGGGCCAGCTCCAGCTGATCTTTGGGTGCTCTCCCTCAGAGCCTCACTGGCAGAGAGAAACATTCCAAGAGAGAACCATTGTGGGTATTTAGGAGGGAAATATAAAACCCCACCAGCTTTGGGGCAGCAAATCCCTTGGCAATCCCCTGAGCCATACAGATCTCCACTAACTCTGCAGAAATACGGAGTCACTTCTTTTATAATTCCTGATGCTAATTTGGGATTTGGTCTTGTTTTGAATTTGACTTTCACAGGTCCCTTCTAACCAAAATTATTGGTGATTCCTAATAGCTGTTGTGACTGGGAGATCTGGAATGTGGTGGTGGGACACTTCCTCCATGTGTGTTTATTTGATTTTTATCACTCCAGGGTATCATGAAGTTCCAGTGGCAGTTGCTGTCGGTGTTTCACTGATAATTGCTGCAGTCCTGAAGTGTGTGCATTCAGCAGGTTTTATTTTCCCGGAGTTTACCCTTCCTCAGACCTTGGTATGTAGCAGCTCTCAGATCTGCCCTTTCTGCCTGGCAGCAGGATGTTTTAACAGCTGGAATTCCCAATCTTGTGCTTTAGGTACAAGTTCTGTAAGAGCACAGAATGTTTGCATTTGCAGTTTACCTCAGTCAGAGATGATCTCTGGGCTGCTAAGTTTTGTCTGATCTTCAGAACAAATATTCAAAACCATTTCTTGCTATTTCTGTGACAAGCTACTAGCAGAGAGGATCATCCCACCCTGCTCAGGGGGAACATTCTGGAATATTGCACCCAGCTCTGGTCCCCACAGGCTGGAGTGGGCCCAGAGCAGGGCCAGGGGGTGAGCAGAGGGCTGGAGAAGCTGCCCTGTGAGGAGAGACCGGAGGAGAAGTTGTTCCACTGTTTAATAATAATAAAATAATCTCTCTTGGACTTCTTCTGTGATCAAGCACAGAGGGAGCCAGTCCAGAGGCAGCTAATTTATTTCCCTAGATTGAATTGCCACTAAATTTCAAGCAAAAAAACAAGACTTCTTGTTTCTATATTTTAGCTTGTTCTATTTTTTACAGTCTCTGACTTCTTTTCCGTTTAATTCTTTAGAGTTTTTCAGCATAGATATTTTTCATTTTTTACAAACATGCCCAGAGCAGATGGGTATCACTTTTTTCTAAGACTTTTTCCATGTTTCTCTTATTTGCTATGTCAGCACTTGCATCCCAACAATTGCTGAACGCATTACTAAGGAATGTCTAAGGTTTATTTATTTATTATTGTCAACATGACAAATGCTTCAAATATTGAATAATCCTCTGAAGTGCAGAGGGAAGACAGGGCTTGGGATATTAAAATGGTGAAGATTGCTTCAAAAGATAACTTCTAAAGGATATGAAAATTGCTCAGCCTTGATAGAGGTGACTGCAGGAGTTGAGAGAGTGACAAACTCGGCTCACCCTGGCAGGGTGGGCAGGCCCTGGCACAGGGTGCCCAGAGCAGCTGTGGCTGCCCCTGGATCCCTGGCAGTGCCCAAGGCCAGGTTGGACACTGGGTTTGGAGCAGCCTGGGACAGTGGGAAGTGTCCCTGCCCTGGCAGGGGATTGGAATGTGATGGTCTTTTAAGATCCCTTCCCACTCAAACCATTCAGGGGCTCTGTGATGTTCAGCAATGGAAAAGAAGGAGTGATCCTAGATACCCTGAACTCTGCAAAAAAAAAGCCCAAACTGTGGCACAGAGGGAATCATTTGACAGCCTCATGGCTGGAGGTTGTTTGGGGTATTTTTTCATGCTGTTGTGTGCATATGTGCAAAAGTGGCTGAGTGGATTGAATTCATTTTACTCTTCCAGGCATACATCAAGAAGTTGGCCTACTCGCCGTGGGTGTCTGAGTCAGAAGCACTGGCCTCTGTGGAGATCATCCCCAGAGAGGTGAAAAGCAAGGCCAGGCGCTGCAGAGGCAGTGACAGCAGTGACAGTGACAGCAGTGACAGCGACAGCAGTGACAGCGACAGCAGTGCCCCGTGTGACCACGACTACACCAGGCGGGACAGGCTGGGCAGGGGCAGTGTCCCCCAGCGCTGTGACACTCCCAGCAGCCCGAGGCAGTACTCGGAGAGCAGCACCTGTGAGCACAGCAGCAGCCAGGCTGGGGACACGCCAGCTGCTGAGCCACAGCAGCTCCAGGAGCACCCTGGAGGGGATGGAGACACGAGCAGCCAGTTGCTGAGCCCTCTCTCTGGGGACAGCGGCGAGCCCCAGAGCGGCAGCGGGTGCTTCACCATCAGCCTGCACACGGTGCTGCTGGGAACCCTGGAGCAGGACGGGCACGGCTCTGCAGCTGCTGCCCCAGCCCAGCAGGATGCAGAGGGCTGGCACTGTGCCCATGCTCTGCAGGAAAAGCTGCTGGAGGACACGGGAAGTGGGCAGGGGGCACCTTGTTCTAATGACTTTCCTGAGTGGCAAAAGTCCTCCTCTTCCTCTGAGGAAAGCGACTCTTCGGACTCGGACACAGAGCAAGTAACGGGGTACATGAGGAGGTGAAGGGAGAACTGCTTTTACTTTATAACATAGGAACCGGTGTTGTCCAACTTTTATTTCTGCACTGAACACACAGGTGTTGTCCTGTCATTAGCATTGTGTGAGTGTGGGCTCCTACAGAAAGAGCTGGGAGTGTTTGTCTGGAGAAGGATCCAAAGAGACCTTAGAGCCCCTTCCTGTGCCTAAAGGGGCTCCAGAAGAGGGGCTTTGGATGAGGGATGGAAGGACAGGGCAAGAGGGAATGGCTTCAGACTGACAAGAGGGCAGTTCTGGATTAGAAATTGTTCCCAGTGAAAGTGGGTAAAGACAGTTTGCAGGGGCTGGAGGGACAGGACACAGGGAATGGCTCCCACTGCCAGAGGGCAGGGCTGGATGGGGGTTGGGAATTGGGAATTGTTCCCTGGCAGGGTGGGCAGGGCTGGGATGGAATTCCCAGAGCAGCTAGGGCTGCCCCTGGATCCCTGGCAGTGCTCAAGGCCAGGCTGGACACTGGGGCTGGAGCAGCCTGGGACAGTGGAAGGCTGGTCTCCCAACCAGACCACTTTTACATTTTTTTAATTCTTTGTCATTGGATTTTTGTGAAACCTGTTCTTCTGGCTGGATGCTGTATTTGTGCAGAGAACGCTGATCAAGTGGAACAGTGGGGGCAGAGACAGGAACACTCAGCTGACAAAAGAGTGGATTGAGGCATTAATACATTTCTCCAATTTATTTTTAAATAATTTTCTACGATTACTCATTCATATTAAAATATTTTTATAACATTTAAAATCCCCGCTCTGAGCAGCCCCAGTGTGTGAGGGGGAACAGAGATGGCCTGTGAGGGAACCGGAGTATGAGGTGGCCCGGCTCGCCCTGTGGGGAAGGGTTTGGGGTGCCGGGGCTCCTGGTGCCTGCTCCTCTCTGTGGGGAAGGGTTTGGGGTGCCGGGGCTCCTGGTGCCTGCTCCTCTCTGTGAGGAAGGGTTTGGGGTGCTGGGGCTCTTGGTGCCTGTTCCCCTCTCTGTGAGGAAGGGTTTGGGGTGCCGGGGCTCTTGGTGCCCGCTCCTCTCTGTGGGGAAGGGTTTGGGGTGCCAGGGGTCCCTCACCCGCTCCTCTCTGTGGGGAAGGGTTTGGGGTGCCGGGGCTCCTGGTGACTGCTCCTCTCTGTGCGGAAGGGTTTGGGGTGCTGGGCTCCCTCACCTGCTCCTCTCTGTGGGAAGGGTTTGGGGTGCTGGGCTCCCTCACCTGCTCCTCTCTGTGGGGAAGGGTTTGGGGTGCCGGGGCTCCCTCACCCGCTCCTCTCTGTGGGAAGGGTTTGGGGTGCCGGGGCTCCCGGTGCCTGCTCCTCTCTGTGGGGAAGGGTTTGGGGTGCCGGGGCTCTTGGTGCCTGTTCCCCTCTCTGTGGGGAAGGGTTTGGGGTGCCGGGGCTCCCGGTGCCTGCTCCTCTCTGTGGGAAGGGTTTGGGGTACCAGGGGTCCCTCACCCGCTCCTCTCTGTGAGGAAGGGTTTGGGGTGCCGGGGCTCCTGGTGCCCGCTCCGCCCCGTGGGGAAGGGGAAGGGCTCGGGGTGCCGGTGCCGGGGCTCGCTCGCCCGCCCCGCCCCGTGGGGAAGGGTTTGGGGTGCCAGGCTCCGTGCCCCGCCCCGCCCCGTGGGGAAGGGCTCAGGGTGCCGGGGCTCCCTGCCCCGCCCCGTGGGGAGGCGGGAGGCCGCGGGTGCGGGCGGCCCCGCCGGCGCGGCCATGGCGCGGCCGGCCCGGCGCGGCTGAGGGAGCCGCCATGGGCGCGGCGCTGCGGGCCGGGCCGTGCAGCGGGCTGCCGCTGCCGCTGCCGCTGCTGCCGTCTATGCTGCTGCTGCTGCCGCTGCTGCTGCCGCTGCTGTGCGGTGAGTCCGTGCGGGGGCACGGGGGGACGGGGCGAGCCCCGGTGCCGCGGGCAGGGCGGGCGGCGCTGCCCTCGGGAGCGGCGGTGAGGAGCCGAGGGCCCGGCCGTGCCCCGCGGGCGCTGCGCAGCCCGGCTCGGGCTGTGCTGGGAAACGGGGCCGGTCCTGCCGGGAGCGCGGCGCTGCAGCTCCGGGAGAGCAAAGCCGGCCGAGAGCTCCGTGCCATGCCTGCGGAGGGGACAGGAGAGAGGGAACGGCCCCGGGCTGGGCCGGGCTGGGACAGCAGCAGCAATTTCCCCATGGAAAGGGTGCTCAGGCCCTGGCAGGGGCTGCCCAGGGAGCTTTGCAGTGCCCATCCCTGCAGGTGTCCCCTGGAGGTGGCACTGAGTGCTCTGGGCTGGGGACAAGGTGGCACTCCCTGGGCTTGGAGGGCTGGGCACAAACCTGAAACCCCAGAAGTATTTCCTCATCTCTTTGGATCCACAGTGCCCAATGAAGCTATCTACCCGGAGGCTCCTCAGGTAGGCAGCGCTGTGAGGGAATAATGCCCCGGCAAGGAAATGGGATTTTTCCTGGGAAATTGCATGCCTGCCTCAGACCTCATCCGCAGAGCAGGGGCTCTGCTCCAAGAGAAATGAGAGGGACTTTGGACAAGGGATGGAATGCCAGGATAAAAGGGAGTGGCTCCCACTGCCAGAGGGCAGGGCGGGATGGGAGATTGGGAATTGGGAATTGTTCCCTGGCAGGGTGGGCAGGGCTGGGATGGAATTCCGAGATTCCCCTGGATCCCTGGCAGTGCCCAAGGCCAGGTTGGACACTGGGGCTGGAGCAGCCTGGGACAGTGGGAGGTGTCCCTGCCGTGGCAGGGGTGGCCCTGGGTGGGATTTGAGGTCCCTCCCAGCCCACGCCAGTCTGGGATTTGAACTTCTGTGTTTGTGATGTGCACTGTGTTGGATTTATTTTTTGGGTGCAAGGGTAACACTGTAGGACCAGAGTCTGAAACAGGTTTTGTTTAAGCCAGGTTCAGATTTGAAACTCTTGTCTGCCAGCAGGGCATGACTGACACAGGAATTTCATTAATTTCTGCATCAGCTGGGGCACAGCTCAGGGGTGATTGTGGGCTGCTGGGGTGGCACAGGTGACCTGAAAGGTCTCTTCCAGTCCTGGTGATTCTGTGGACCACAGGCATGGAAAATGTGTTATTTCTCTTGGAGTCTGTCATCAGGTGTGAGTCCTGTGACATTTAAGTGCTGCTCTGCTCTGGCAGGGTTTGTTTGCATTGTTCATTTGTGATGCAGTAATGGGCTGGTATCTTTGCTGTTTTAGTCTCAATACCTTCAATTATGTAAGAAAAATCATAACAGTAATGGGCTTTTCATTGATTCTTTACACCAGTTTAGGGTTTCTTTGTTTCAGTTCCAAGAAAGGAGAATAACTGGGATTTTTTCCCTTGTGAATAATGCTGACTGATAATACATAATTACATTTAATTATGTGTAATTGCTCTCTTACCTTCAGAGTTGCTTCTGGTTTATCTCTATTTATCACTCCCCACGCCCTTGTTATTCCCAGTGCTGCTGGAGCACTGCTTAAGAAAACTGGGGTTTGACAATCTCAGGGAGAGTTCATGTCCTGAGTGCTGGGCAGCGCCAGCTCAGTCATGCAGGAGAAACGTTGTTGTCACAAGCACTTACTGGAAGTCACCAGGGTGCCAGTAATTTGCTTTGTTGCATAAGGAGGCAGGAGAGGCATCAGGATTTAAATTAATTTACTTGGCCTCTGTTTTTCAATAAGCACCTAAGACAAGGCAGAGGCTGCATTTAAATTTTGGATGAGTGACAAGTGCAGGAGCAAACACTGAAATGTTGGTTCTGCTTCCTCCCACAGTTTCTGGAATGATCCCAGAGCCCCGGAACGCAAGAATTACTTCAGTCAATCTTCACAGCACCTTGCAGTGGGACGCACCAAGGTTCCCCAGAGGGAACCTCACCTACACTGTGCAGTCCAAGAGGTGGGGCCGGGCTGGGCTGGCTTTCACTCATCCCAGGCTCTGTGTGCCTGGGATTTGTGTCCTTTGCAGAGCATGGTCTGTCCCTTCATTTCAGGGACTTTGCTGTCCCAGGAGCTGTCCCTTTATTTCAGCTTCTGAGAGGCTTCTCTGAGCTGAGGGCAGAGGCATTTCCTGGGCATTCACACATTCACTCCCAGGGCAGCTTTGTCCCGTTTGTTTTGGAACCACAAACACATTCTGACATTGGGTGTTACTGGCTGTGTGTGTGGTTTTTCTCTTCTGTGATTGAAGGGACCTGGTTGTGCTGAGGGTTTGCCCTTCCCTGATGTCTCAGATGCTCCCATCCCATTCCATCCCATCCCCATCCCATCCCACTGCCCCAGGCTGCTCCAACCTGGCCTTGGGCACTGCCAGGGATCCAGGGGCAGCCCCAGCTGTTCTGGGAATTCCATCCCAGCCCTGCCCACCCTGCCAGGGAACAATTCCCAATTCCCAGTCTCCCATCCCGCCCTGCCCTCTGGCAGTGGGAGCCGTTCCCTGTGTCCCGGCACTCTCTGCCAATATAAAAATTCTCCCTTTTCTTTAGAAGCCCTTCCAGGCACTAGAAGGAACTCTAAACCTTGCCCAGAGTCTTCTCTTCATGCTTAGTTGAGAGAAGATTTTTTTCAGGATTCTGTAGCTGTGGTCCCTTGATCAGTACATTTCTGGGCAGGGTTTTGATGCAAAGCAGAAAGGATAAAATATATTAAATATCATTTATTAAATCATGTCTTGATCAAGGCCAGGGGCTGGAGCAGCCTGGGACAGTGGGAGGTGTCCCTGCCATGGCAGGGGTGGCCCTGGGTGGGCTCTGAGGTCCCTCCAACCCACACCTGCTGTGGTTCTGTTCCCTAAGCAGCTCCTGCTCACTTCCAGCCCTGTTTTTCTCTGGCTTTTCCTCGTGTGCAAATCCTGGAGACAGCTCTGGGCAGAGTCCAGTGGGACAGCAGTGCCCTGTCGTGGCACTGGCTGAGTGTCTGCTGGCTTCTCTGAACTCCTGCCTGCTGAATCCTGCGACCCGACCAGGAAATGGGCATTTTTTAGAGTTAGAATTTTAACCCCTAAGTTTATCATGGATTTATAGATGGGTGTAAAATCCCTAATGTGAATTTTACGCGCACTGGGTACATTTTTGTGTCCATTAATGCTAACTGCTCCCATTAACAGCTTTGTTAAAGCCATTTATCCGGCTGGAATGACCCATCTGTTTGTGTTCCCTGCAGCATCTACTACCTCGGGGGCAGCTTTGAGACGCTGAGGACAGAGCTGAGGCAGCCCTGGTGTGACGTGTCCTCGCTGTCGCCCTACGGCAGCTACCTGCTGCAGCTGCGGGCCGAGGCAGGGCAGCTGCACTCCCCCTGGGTCACCCTCACCTTCAAGCCCATGGATGACAGTGAGCCTTTCCCTTTTCTTCCCAAAAAATACTGCCTGCTCTGGGAGAGAAGCTGGAGGATGCAGAGTGTTTGACATTTAATGATGGTGTGCTGGTTCCTGGCTTCCTTTCCCCGCCTCTGCCGAGGTCGGGATTGAAGGTTTTTCACATTCAGGCTTTGATGTTTCTTTTTTCTTGCCTGTGTTAGTCTGTGAATTCTGCAGTGTTGCACTGACAGGGTACAGAATGGCTCACTGTCTTTCTCTGCAAGGCCTTTTAAGGGTCAACTGTCCAATTAAGAAATGACACCTCAATTATTTTCACTTTTAACCCAACACCCAACCACCCGTGCCCACAATGGGACTTTTTTATCCAATTGCACAAAACCACCCAAACCCATGGAGAAGGAGGTGAAGAAGAAGGACTATCTTGTCTTAAAACTTCTATCTTGTTTCATACCTATTATGTTCTAAACCCTTAAACTCTGAGTTTCCCACCCTGTGATATCACACACTTCCATTCAAACTCCACCCCCACAATCCCAGTTCTGCCATTCCATTTTGGAAGCCCCTTCACTGCCTCAGGTCAATGCAGTGTTCTCCTGGGGGTCAGTGCCTGGCAGCACAGCAAGTCTGAAATTCTCAGCAGACAGGGTTCCTACAACGTTGAACTATAAAATCTTAGTTGTAACACTGGCAGAAAGAAGAGCAGGTTCGCTGTCATGGTATTGATCACCTCTTTGGAGGAGATTTTCAAACAAAGCATCATTTTCTCTTAAAATAACGAACATTTATATTTTCTAGCTAGGGAGAAGTTGTCTACAAGGAGCCAGACTTCCTGTATGTCTAAATAATTCAGTTACTTCCTTATTTATTGCTTTGCCAGACAAAAAGCTTAATTTCTATTTTTTTTCTTACTTCAAAAAAACCCCACTCTCACAGAGAAAGGTTAATTTTCAGCCAAGAAATCTTGATTGCACAAGGCAGAAATAATTCAAATATTTTCATTTTTCAAGCTGCTGATAATCAAAGCCCCTCAGCAAAACACTTTTTCTAGAGGGTCTGCTCAGGACAGACAGATGTTGTGGCAGTTTGGCCCAGAAGGAGAAGTGAGTGATAGCCATGGAAATGGTCCTTCCTCTCCTGGAGTCACCACAGCTGGCTGAAGGGAACCGAGTTCATTTTGAGGTGTGGTAACGGAGCCTGCCTTGGTACCTGGTTTTTAACTGCAACAACAAAATCAATTCCCAGAGCAGTTCTGTGAGGAAAACACTGATTTTTGCCTGACCCAGGGCAAAGAAATTCCTTCCTTCTAATGCATGATTGAAAAGGTGACGTTTGGGCTGTGTGAGGATGCCTGGCTGAGCCAGCTGAGGCTGAATCCTCTCCCCTCTCCCCTCTCCCCTCTCCTCTCCCTCTCCCCTCCTCTCCCCCCCAGCCACCATCGGCCCTCCCGAGGTGCGGCTGAAGTCGGAGTCGGGCGCGCTGCACGTGGACGTCTCGGGGCCCTTCGCGGAGCACGAGCAGGAGCGGTGGCCCCTGAGGCTCTACTACGGCTCCTGGAGCTACAGGATCCTCTACTGGAGGAAGGGCAGCAGGGAGCACCCGGCCTCTGCCTCCTGGGTATGCTGCTTCCCTGCCCTGCAGCCCTGCTTTCCCTGCAAACGCTGGCCTGGGGGCTCCTGGGGGCTCGGAGCTCTGGGGCAGGCTGGGAGAGCTGGGAATGTTCACCTGGAGAGGAGAAGTTCCAGGAAGAGCTGGGAATGTTCAACCTGGAGAGGAGAAGCTCCAGGGAGAGCTCAGAGCCCTGCCAGGGCCTGGAGGGGCTCCAGGAGAGCTGCAGAGGGACTGGGGACAAGGATGGAGGGACAGGAGCCAGGGAATGGCTCCCACTGCCAGAGGGCAGGGCTGGGTGGGAGATTGGGAATTGGGAATTGTTCCCTGGCAGGGTGGGCAGGGCTGGGATGGAATTCCCAGATTCCCCTGGATCCCTGGCAGTGCCCAAGGCCAGGCTGGACACTGGGGCTGGAGCAGCCTGGCACAGTGGGAGGGGTCCCTGCCATGGCAGGGGTGGCACCGGGTGGGATTTGGGGCCCCTCCAGCCCAACCCAGTCTGGGATTCTGTGGTTCTAAGAGTAAAAATGGATCTCTACTAATTACAGTTAATCAAGTCTCTTCACTACAGCTGGGACTCAGAGTAAGTGCAGGAGCTGTGCAGTTACACAGCAGCATGGACAGAATTTTCTCTTTCCTTAATTATCAATAGCCCTGTGTTTTTTCCCCTCTGAGTGGGACTTTGGGCTTTTTACCCCCAGAAATATCTAAAACTGGGTAAGGCTTTTGTTTACTGTGGCCACCTGCAGCTCTGCAGTTTGTATCCACTGCAGTTCCCTTTCTCCTTCTCAGGGCCAGCCTCTTCCACAGGCAGTTGGTGCTCCTGCATGCACAGTGCATGGAGAAAGATCATTAATAATATATTAATTAGAGCATTTTGGCCTCTGTTTCAGGCAAACAGGAAGCAGCAGAGCAGCAGACCCCAGTGCCAGTTAATGAGTGCTCTGTACATCAGTGCAGGTTTATGTAATGGAGTCCCCCATGTGTAATTCTGATTTTTATCTGTTGCCTGTAACAGCAAATTCATCTGCTCAGCCACCTCACAGCTCCCAGAAATATTCTCTTTATTTCTTTTCTTTTTTTTTTTTTTGTTTTGTCTAGATGACAGCTCACAGAATCACAGAGTTGGGAAGGTTGGAAGAGCCCTCTGTAGTCATCAGTTCCAGCCATTAACCCAGCACCCCGTGTTCACCACTAGCCCATGTCCCCAAGAGCCACATCTACATATTGTTTACACTTCCAGGGGTGGGGACTGCACCATTTCTCTGGGCAGCCTATTTCCTATTCCTATTTTCAGTGAAAACTTTTTTCCTAATATCCAATCTAAAACTCCCCTGGCACAACCTGAGGCCTTTTCCTCTTGTGCTGTTCCTCCATCCCACTTGCTCCCTATGCAGTTAGATGTTTAGTTAGTTTGCATGTAACTGTGCTCCTAGCTGATCTCATTTGGTTGGATGACAGTTCCTGGCTGCCCCCAGATCTCATTTATCATCCCTCATTAGCCTAAAACTTCGTTAGGGCTGCTGGCAGCAGCCCAAAGGTCGGTGCTGTGGATGGTTGTACAGTGATTGTGATTCAGTACAGTTGTAGTTGAAATTGCAATTCCTTGGTTGTTCCTTAGCTAATTGCAGAGCTGGGTCACTGGTCTCACACGCATTTCTGTGTTCTGTGTGTTTGCAGGTAGCTCAGGTGGACACCAGGCACAGCTCTGAGATCCTGGCCCAGCTGGAGCCATGGACAGTTTATTGTGTCCGGGTGCAGGCGCTGATTCCCGAGTGGAACAAGACAGGGCAGCTGAGCAGGGAGCTCTGTGAGCAGACCACCCACAACGGTAACCTGGGAGCTGGAGATCATGGAATCACCCTGGGAGGGACCCCAGATCCCACCCAGTGCCACCCTGCCCTGGCAGGGTCACCTCCCACTGCCCCAGGCTGCTCCAGCCCCAGTGTCCAGCCTGGCCTTGGGCACATTCCCCTGAGATAGTGGTCATTTGAAAATAATCACTCAGAAGTGAATAATGACAGTTTTAATTGTTTTTTTCCTTGTCTCTGGCAGGTGTAACCCCTGTGTGGATAATTGTGACTGTTCTGGTGGGGTCCATGCTGGTCGTGGGCACAGCTTTCACCGTTTGTTTCTTCTCCAGTTTTTATCTGTACAGACTCTTCAAGCATGTGTTCTGCCCATCCTACATTTTCCCACAACACTTGAAAGAGGTTTGTTTCCTGACCAACATGTGAAAATTTGCCTTTCCAGCAGAGCCACTTGTTTCTTCTAGGCTCTCAGTGCCCAAACATTTAGAGCTTCTTTTATTTTGCCTCCTCTCACTGGCACCTGATCTGTAATTTGCCATCACCAGCCTTTTATGGCTGGTGAAACAGGATGGGTCTGTTGATTTTGAAGTGAGAGAGTACCAGGTGTCAACTTCAGTTCCTCATTTAGCCAGTAAGCAACAGAAATCTGTCTCTCCTGCCTCCTTTTAGACTTAAACCAGCTCCTTTTTTCCCCTGCAGCAAAATCCTGAGTTTTAACTTCTGGAAAGTGTCTGAGGAAGGAAGCTGGGCTAGATCAGCTGTATCAGAGCAGCCTGGGCTATGGAAGGTGTCCCTGGCCATGCAGGGACAGGATGGGAAGAGCTTTGGAGTCTCATCCAACCCAAACCATTCTGGGAATCTGTGATTCTATGGAGTCTGAAAATTCCAGCTAAAAGGAGAGCAGTGGCAGCAGCCATTGCTGATGGGGACCCACTGCCCCTGTCACACAGCCAGAAGACAAAGAGGCTGCAGCAGGATCCCTTCCCAGAAACAAGGCTGTACAAAATGCTCCTGTAGCAGCCTGTGCTCTCCTGAGTCCCTGCAGTTCCTCTGGGGCTTTCATTTTCACTCAGAGCTCAGCAGCCCAGGTTTGCAGCTGACTTTGGCTCCTCTTTAGGTTGCTCATCATGAGGAGTGTCAGGAATCACAGAATCCCAACTGGGTTGGGATGGGAGGGACCCCAAATCCCACCCTGCCATGGGGACACCTCCCACTGTGCCAGGCTGCTCCAGCCCCAGTGTCCA